TTTGACGCCTTCCTCAGGACTTTGAAAACATATTTTAAAAAAATTTATAAACTTTATGATTCTGGACCGCCTAGAGAGTGATAATTTGGTAATCGTAATTTTTTTTTTAATAGTCTTGAGGTAGGCGTCAAATACAGTCACAAGCTCCACATTAGAAAATAAGTTGGTTTTTTACCTTCAGGGTTTCATCCCTGAGCTCCCATCTTTATCATTTATCACAATATTTGTGTTAACCCTGTTAAGTCGTGTTAGATAGAGAAAAATGACGACGTTGGCTTGTAAGAATCGGCTAGTTAACATTGCTCGATCTAACAGGCCAACGCCAATGTTAGGTGTTAGGTCGAAAATGTAGTCACATTGCTCTCCGTTAGGGCGTAGGTAACCAACATGGCAGCCATGAATTTAACAGCTGGTTTTTGTTACACGTATTTTTATTTTTAAGTAAGCATTAATTAAATCAGACCAATGCATTTCCTTTGTTAATTTCTGACCTGATCTTATACTCTCATTCATAATAGATACATCCCATATCCTATAAAGTTGTAGGCTGTTAGACGTTAGTACACAAGTTAGGTATGTCGGCATGAATTGAAGCGTGTCATTTGTTAGTACTTTTCAAGTGCATTTTGAATGAAAGAGTTGATTATGATTAATTTTCCTTTTTTATTAACTTCTGGCATCTTACAATTTAACACAAAGAATTGAAAACATGGGTGATGGAAATACCGACGCCAACAAACCTAGGACCTGCATGCGTTGGGTGCTTAGCTGTTGAGGGCACCGGAGCCTGACCTCGGGGGCGGACGGATAGGTCCGAGGTCTGATGCCGGCTGCTGTCAGGGGTAGCGTGGGGGCGTGATGGGTTGTTCTGAAAGACTTCCATTTACTGTTTACAACAATTTATTGTTACTAAGTTTACAGACCGAGATCTTAATACCGACTAGGGAGTTTTTCTCTTTTCTAAAACACAGCCAACTCTCAAGGTGTGTGATTCTAGCAGCCTGCCGTTAATTTATTGTAAGTTAAAAAGATGGAATTGCCGGTAGCCTGCGGGGGAACATATATCGAGTAGGTTTAACTTTGTACGTATATGTGCAGATTTAAGCTTATATCAATCCAAAGTAAAATTCCACCTTTTGTGAAAATGAACGCCTACTCTATTACAGAGAAATGTATAAATACAAACAATACGCTATTACTTGAAATGATATAGCATGTATGGTCTTGTCAATAAATGAAAAGCTGATTGACAACCGCACTATACTCATATTTGTGTACACTTATTTTTATGTTTTACTACGAACTGTAATTCTTAAAACGTAAATATTTGTTAATTTTTTTAGTGTTTTGACACGTTTATAGATATTTTTACATTTTTAAGTTGAAGAGCGCCGGGTTCACCCTTTGCAACATTAGGGTTGCAAGTTTTCCCCGCTAAAATAATAAATAAAGTTCCCTCCCATCATCGCAGAACTGCAGACCCTATTTTACATTCAGACCAAAAACTTTGACTGTAAATATCCAACGATATTTATTTTAACTTTCGAATAATACTTACGCATATCTTTATTATTTTTTTCATTTCCTGCTGTTACATTTCAATTTAAAACTTTCCAATTTTTTAAGAAACGGTTTACTTTTTCCTTAGCAATACTTGTTCTTCTATTTCGATATTATTGATTAATTCTACAAGATAATTGTTTCAAATATGTACCAGCTATATCTTTTGTTATGAAATGTTTTGGTAATTCAACTGTTTTTGTAATGACAAATATTTTACTACGAATTAAGCAATCAAAACTAAAATATCGGTTAAAGTGTACAGTATAAGTTAGAACTAGTCAAATAATGAAAAAATTTGAGATTAAAAATAAATTTGAACTGTTGAATACATTTTTATTAATTAAAGCAATGACTTGGACAGCGCATTTCTGAAAAGAACGTATTAACGATTGAACGAACATTATGGCAAATTGACAAACTGTACCAACTAATTGAGTAGTAAATTAGTCGGCACAAACAATCGACCAATTGGCTTTCAGGTTAATGATAAAATCTTCTATTTCAACTACTACTAGTGGGGTGTGTTTCAATCATTTGTGTACAAAACAGATTTGAAATAAAACTATCTATCAGATTAGAAACTTTTTTTACACGCGGTTTGTTAACTGAAAGTTTTAACCACATTTCCCAAAATATTTTTCAGTATTTTTGATAGATATATTAATTAATTATTTGTTTATTTCCAATAGAGTTCTTTACTTGGACTTTGGAGGGATTGAACGAACAAAATGCCCGTGTAAGCAAGTTGCGGATTTGTGCTATTTCTTTACCTTTTCTGGAACGTTTTCAAAGTAGAGCAATAGCACATTCAAACTCCTCGGGACATCTATATAGATCTCACACATTCTCTAAAACGGTGAGCATTCCCTTTCCGTTTTGAACAATTTACAAGAATAGCAAGACGAAATTAAAAATTAAAACTACTTGTAATAAAAGATTATTAAGACATTTATAATTTTCTATTCAAAAATATAACTGTTACTTTAAAAACGGACTAATTAAATAAGTAATACGAACTGTTTAAACCCAAATAAGAATTAATTAAACAACAAACAACCACGTCAATTGGCCTTAATTTTTTAAAAGTTACAATTGTTCTCTTTTCTAAACTGAGAGTTTAGTCCTTTGCTAGTTCTATAGTTCTTATCCTATAGTTCTTCAGAAAAGCAAACATGCAGTCGTTTTCATCAATTGATTATATTAACTGACGCTTTAACTATTTGTTTCCTTCCCGTTACGTTGAGCGGTACAACCCCTGTAGAAGCACGGATGGAGTGCTGCACCAAAATTTTATAAATAGCGCCACAAAACATTAGGACAGTGTATCAGCGCAAGGAAACTCAGGAACGTGCATATAAAGGTGGCCATTCATGATCTCTCCAAATCGAACCGCGCCAAGCCGTAAAACTCTATTTGGAGTTCCTGAAATTTGAGGGGGCATTCACGACCGCTCCACAACCAGTCGCTCGGAACGTCATCTAGTGAATTACCTTCTCAAAATGGATGACGAGCTCTTGTGCTACGCTGCTGTTTGTTTATATATTAAAAGCAAAAACCGAAGAGGAAATGGTGTAAGAAGTGGCACCTGAACAGAAGTCGTAATACCCACATCAATTTAATGAACGATCTTTCCATTGAACCCGCTGATTGGAGGAACTATTTAAGGATGGATGAAACGTCTTATTTATTCATTACATTTAGTGTTCTATTTCGGCGTATTTAGCCGAATGTCGTGGATTCGAATCACCCCGTGAAACTATTTTTTCATTTCAACCAAAACTTTACAAAAAAACGATTAACGAGTTATTTATATTTACTCCAGCTTGTTACCCCCTTGATTAGAAAACAAACGGCAGTCACGAGAGATATCATCAATCTACATGAAAGGTTGGCAACCATATCTCGATTTCTCGCTACAGGGATGAACTATGAAGAACTGAAGTTCTGAACTACGATTTCTGCTCAGCGCTTAGGGGTTATCAATACCGCATCTCGCTCCATTTGTATCCATTGTTTTTAGGTCGACCAACTGGTTGAGTACCGAATTTCTTTTATTTCTATCGTGGTAATATTGTCCACCACTTTCCATAAATATGGTAAATTTTCATACAATTCAATCACCTCAACAATAAAATCTCGATTGGATGTTATTCCCAATAAAGAATAAACGTTTTTAACTTTTTGAGAACGGAGATGTTTACTCCACTTTTACTTTTTGCCATTGACGTGGTTTTTGGAACGGCGTCGCTCCGTTTGGACTGCTAGGAGCGATCGTGAATGGCCACCTTAAGCCCATGCCAACTCGATGTGACGTCTTGCTCGACTTGGATACCGTACGTGGAAACCTATCCTCGATTATTGGCATTTTAACTAGATTAACCATTTCCTCTCACCAATAAAAAATAAAATAAAAAATAAAACAGTCTTGTGACAAACGAAAAATCATGCATGATGACATGGCATTTAGTTGGGCCATTTTTTTTAAATTCAGTAATTGTTGTATTTTTCGATTTTATTTTAATTTCCCTTTTTTATTTATTTGTATTATCTCTTTTTTTCGAGTGCTACACACATCGAAGACAATTCATTTCAACCAATACCTTACATAAAGATTAATTAATTGAAAGAAGTTATTTGGTCAATCGGACCACGAAATATAATGGATTTAATGCGTAAAACGAAATATATCTTCACTAAAGCTCTCCGTGGCCATTTCATTTGTCGCCGAGAATCAAACAGATTATATGAGATTAAAAGAAACAACAAAATGGCAAAAAGGAGGGAAAATTCGAAAGGTTAGTTGAGATGGGAAGTGGGTGTCCGAGTGGATCGAAGTCACTATAGTTCAAGTGGTAGAGCAGTGGCGTATTTAGCCGAAGGTGGTGGGTTCGAATCCCGCTCGTGACATTAGTTTTTTCATTTCAACCAATCCCTTACATAAAGATTAATTAACTGAAAGTAGTTATTTGGTCAATCGGACCACGAAATATAATGGAGCTATTAACTATATTTCCCTCTTTATAATAGCAACATCTAGATCGTTATAACGGGCTAATATTTAACAAATTACGCAAAGCGACAATAAATTCAGTTACATAAACGTATTTTATTTACATACTTATATTAACGTTTGCAAACAAAAATGTGTGATAATTTATAACAGTGCATTTCTATCTTCGATATTGTTCAAAAATGTTCAGATTTCATGTGTCATTCCTCATTTCATCATCTCAAAACTGCTGTCTTCACCAATGTGTTAAAATGTGTTTTCAACCGTGAAGTCAGCGAATGCGTATTGATCAAGTGACACCAAAAGTTTGTAATGACATCGCTGAAGAAAATTGGGCAGCGAGAGTAGGAGGACAATGATTAGTTTTCATAAACTTTTTTTATGTAATAGAAATTGAAGACATTGGATAAAATAATGTTGACCTTACCCAAAATTTCAACCGTGTGTGTGATCTCCATTGGCTGAAGTGTCGCGATCTGGCATACGTAGTCTCCAGCGTCTTGAGTCTGGACGTCCCTGATTTCTAGATTGTAGCCGTCGACGAGCCTGAACCTTTCGTCTGGGCTTACTTTGACGCTGCCTGCTGTGAGGATGGCGATGCCCCTTTTCCATGCTTGCATGTAGGTACCTAAAAGAAATGAAGAAAAAAAAACGTTAGAAAATCAGACAACGACCGATTCGTATCCGTTTAGTCGGAAAGGAGTTATGGAGCCACAGGTTGAGGTCTTTCTTTCTCAGGATCCATCATTCATTCAAAAAGCATACCGGAGAAGGGCATACGTGTACATTATTAAATCCTCGCCTTGTATCGGCATCCTACCACTTGAATTATTTAGCCGGCCGCGGGCAAAATTTCATTTTCATACATCACTCTTCCTGTTTACCCTTGACTGGAGGGTTTGTCGGATCATCCGTTCAGAACCGTTTGTGTTGCGGAAAACAATTGTTTAACTGAGGGTTATCAATTTCATCTAGCTACAGGAAAAAGCCATAAATCGTTGTATTAACATATCTGAATAAATTTGCGCCAATTGTATCTAAACCTTATAAAGCAAGCAAGCCGCGTAGCCCGTATTTCAAGAATTCGTTAAAACTATTGATTAATAGCCACTGGGTTAAAGTTCTTCTTTTGAGGGCAAGTGGATTTCACTAATATAAAGTAACATTATTCAATTGCTTGTCTCACCAAATACATTTCTATTATGATTTCAATTCTTTCTTTTTATACAGATTATATTAGCACTATCTTGGTTGAATGCTTTTACAAGGAAATGCAATCTCAAAATTAGAATGATTCTTTTTGTTCGTCCGTATGTATTCTCGTCAAACGTTCGTTTTATTTTCCTCGTGTACTTAGCATACAACAATTTGATTAGAATAAATTGAAATCTTATCCAACGGAGGTTCGTTCCGCAAATAAATCAGTGTATATTAAAATATGTTGGGTTGTTTTTTTAAATGTAAACTTGGTGCAAGAAATATAATTATCTAAAAGGAGTATCAGTATCAAATTGCACCAAAAAATGAAATCTTAAATATATTGCCGTAAAATTAATTTACATAATGTCTAAACTAAAGGTTAGTAAGACAATAAGAACAAAACAAATAAGAAAGATTAGTAGACAGGATATACGACAAAATAAAAGAAAACCTCGCACGACTGTATTGATATTGCACTTTTTTTTAAATTGTTAAATTTTTAATTTTTTTTTAACAAGGTTTCAATTTTCTTCCAATATGTAGATTTGTAGGTTCAACAATGCAAGGGCATTGCACAAACCAATATTATTAATAATCTTTATGTAAGGTATTGGTTGAGATAAAAAAGTCAGTGTCACGAGCGGGATTCGAACCCACGACCTTCGGCTAAATAAACCACTGCCTACCACTTGAGCTATAGCGATTTTGATCTACTCGGACACCTGTTTATCTCAACCAATACCAAAAGATTAATTAATTGAAAGAAGCTTTTTGGTCAATCGGACCACGAAATCTAATGGATTTAATAAGTAAAATGAAGTACATAAGCGCCAAGAATTGAATAGATTACATGACATTTGAAAAATGTCCAAAAGGAAGGTAAATTCGAATGGTGGGGTTGAGATGGGAAGTTGGTGTCCAAGCGCATCGAAGTCGCGATAGCTCAAGCCGAGGATCGTGGGTTCGAATCCCGCTCGTGACACTGACTTTTTTATCTGAACCAATACCTTACATAAAGATTAATTAATTGAAAGAATTAATTTGGTCAATCGGACCACGAAATCTAATGTGGATTGTTAATAATATAACTTTGTTGTAGTTTCGGTCACAGAAAATCATGATGTGGTGAGAATCACCTCATCAAACTGTAACGGAACGTGTATGAATTGATAGTTTTATATACGCAATTCTGTACCGATTATTTTGTGCATGCTCACTGAATCTACTGATTTAGCTCTTATGAGCTGTACTAAAACCAAATTACTGGAATGGGCAAAACGTTTGTTAACGCGATGTGAAACTATAATGATGAGAGACGTGGGTTGACCGACTTATGTGAGGGAAGAGGGACGTCAGTTTCAGGCTGTCAGCACTCAAACTCGCTCCGCTTCGACAGTACGATCTCTTGATCGACCGTCATGCGGGCCCCTTTGACTTAATGTCACCAAGGGAAAACAGAAGACTCTTTCTTTTGTACCAGCTCGTTTTGTTGGATGTTCGTGTCATGTCTGAAAAATTTGTAGGGCCTGTTTGTCGACGGCAGGTGCTGTGATGAATGGCCGGCTGGTTCAACCTCCCTTTTTCAATTCGTATTTGACATCGGCTTTAGAATCGAAACAATGCTCAAGTGACCTCTCGCGAATGAGATTCTGCCTACCAAAAATCACCAGCTAAAAATAAAACAATAAACATTTTGTGTAAGGTGCATATCATTATGCTTCCAATGGTCTCGTGGCTACTATATTCTTCAGAAAGGGCAGAGAATTGGGAGCGTGACTAGCATATAGTCAGATAATATAAACAAACAGTAGGGGCCATGCACGATAAGTTATTAGCATTGCATTCGTGCGGGGAAATTTAGTACGTATTCAAAACGAAACAAGATTCTCGGGAACGATGTGGTAACGCTTTTTTAATTTCCGTCTTTGATAAAACTTGAAACTATAGCATGTTTTTTTTACACGAATATTATCACGACGTAATCATACGTAATTTATTTACACTCATCAACATGATGATTTTTCCGTCAAGTAAGTCCCACAGAACTGAACATTAAGCGTACACAAACATACAGCTAAAACTGTCAGAAACAATGCGTTATGTAAAAATGAAACATATGTCAAAAATTTTGAATATAGAATTAATTGTTTGTTGAGCTATACCAAAAATAAATAAATATATAAATAAAATTTTAGAAAATTACGAAAAGAAAATAATTTATTTTACGTTTTTCCTCTAACCATCTTGTAATAGAATCAAATAAAGAAACCTGTCGCCTAATGATGACCATTAAGGTGAGAACGCATTGTCGGAATAAAAATGGCCGTGCTGCGAAAGGGTGTTACATGAGTCGGGACTATTTATTACCCCGAGGTTATTTAAATACCCGGGCAACATGCGATCCTTGGAGAAAGGCAATATTTCAGAAAAGATCCTCGAGATAATCCCACCCCCTTTTAGGCCCTCGTGGGGCGGATAGGGGTGAGTTTGTATGTAATACAAGGTCTCAAGACTTTATGGCGGACCGTTTTAGTAAAGTCGCGAAACGGGGCATCTCCAAGCAAGATTTGACGCTATCCTCTTTCTACCGCCCTTTCTTTATGGTCCTAAGCAGTCCCCCTCAACCCCCCCCCCCATAATTAAGATTTCACTCGGCGTAATTTGAATTCCGGAAAATGTTATATTTCAAAGAGAGATAGGTGGATGGATGGATAGATAGATAAATAGCTCGACAGATAGATAGAGAGTGAAAGTGAGAGAGAGAGTGGTGGGAGTGGGAGAGAGAGAGGGAGAGGGANGAGAGAGAGAGAGAGAGGGGGAGAGGGAGAGATAGAGGGAGAGAGAGAGAGGGGGCGAGAGAGAGGGAGAGAGAGAGGGAGAGAGAGAGGGGGAGGGAGTTGGTGGGAGGAGGGAGAGAGAGAGACAGACAGAGAGAGGGAGAGAGAAAGAAAGAGAGAGAGAGTGAGAGAGGAGCTGTGGGTCCGGCTTGTAAAGAGTTCTTCATTCTGTTTCATGACTCGCGAAATACATGCAATTTCCTTTTTAATAAGTTTATTATAGAAAATACGATTAAAAAAAAGGAAATGCCCGATTATCATCAGGTACGATTAGAACGAATTTAAAAATCAGTCAACTTTGCCACATCGAAAAAAAACACCAAATATTCAGTTGGCCGGAAAATTATTCTGGTTTATGGTTATGAAATAAAAACAATTAAATAAATTTATTTAAACATTTTGTATTAATGAAAATAAGCTCCATCACTCTGAATCCACTTCTCCCAACGCGATGGCTACTCCTATGTATATATGTGTGTATATATATATATATATANGTTTTACTCATAACATTTAACTAACAATTTATTTCATGGTTTTGCTCATAAAATTACACCATTTTTGTCGAGTAGCTTCAGAACAGGACACTCATATTTTTTGTAGTTTATTTTAAACTAAGTATACGTAATTTTGTCGTTATATTAATTAAACATTCCAATTTTAAACCAAATTAACCGAGATCAAAAATTTATTCGTTTTTATTTAAAAAAATAATTTTAATGGTTTGGTAGAAAATTGATCAAAACACCGGAATACCATTTTTTGACATAATGAATTTAACTAACAATTTATTTCTTGGTTTTGATCATAAAATTACACCGTTTTCTTCGAGTAGCGACCGAAAGGACACTTTTTAAATATTTTTTGTAGTTTATTTCAAACTTAGTATATGTAATTTTGTCGTTATATTAATTACAACATTCCTATTTGAACGTAAACCAAATTAAACGAGATCAAAAATTCATAAATTTTTATAACAATTATTTAATTATGATAGTTAAGCAGAAAATTTATCAAAACGCCGGAATAACTTTATTTAAAACAATTAAGTTTATCAAACAATTTATTACATGTTGTACTCATTAAATTTAACAAACAATTTATTACAAGGTTTTGCTCAAAATAGTGCATTAAGAACAACAGAGACTTTGCGATTGTGATAGTGATTATTGTGATAGACGCTGTGTGAGTATACGTGACGTGAGCTTGACTTCGCATATTTGTGCACACCCTACCGAAACGTGACAAGCGTCGGGTAGCACCGGGTAGTGTCGCATGGCGTTGCATCGGGTAAGTGTGTTCCCAGCTTACAGGATGCTTGGATCTGAAGTATTAGAACAGATTTACTGACAAAACTGAATTATCGTGAATAATAGCTACTTTGTGTGCCTGTGCAAATTCCCAATAGAGTAAAAGTGGGTTGTCCGGTTAATTTGTACGGGAGAATGTAAAGCTAATAAAACAAACGCTGCATATCAAAAAATTCATATTGGAGACGGCTTTTATTTTAAATGCCGTAAGATAAAAAGAATTTCTGGCGTGTTCTGGAAAGAAAACTGCCTTGAAATTTTTGATAGCAAAGAGGTCCAAG